TAGTTCAACGAATTAAAGGGCAGCGGCTACGCTGGCTGGTTCTGAAAGTATTTGACGCTGTACCCGCCGGGGAAAGCAGAGGAAAAGGAAGACCTCCACTCCGTTGGAAGGACCAGGTGGAGAAGGACCTGGCTCCGCTTGGAATATCGAATTGGCGCCACGTAGCGAAAAGAAGAAACGGCTGGCGGGCTGTTGTTAACTCGGCTATAATCGCGTAAGCGGTGTCTATGCCAATTAAGAAGAAGAAGAAGTTTTATATATTAAAATAAAAAGTGGTTTTGGTATGTCCTACGTACGTTTGGTAACGCCCAAAACGCAGCACGAAATAATGTAAAAATTATTTGTTTAACTCCGTCGATTGTGAAATACCATCTGACGATTACATATACACATAAATAATAAAACAAAATCAAATATTCTACTTACCTGGACATTTCTCGTTGCCAAAATAAATGTAAAATATAGGGAACATGGCTATTATATTATCGCTTGATTTATCTTACAATAAAAAATTGTGTTGTGCAATAGTTATCTCTTTTGTCCACTCATTATCAAAAAAATTTTTGCAATTTGTCCATGAATAAGTTAACTAAAACGCATAATAATATATAACATATTTATTTATATTAAGAAGATATAATTAAATACTTTGATAACCGCATTAAACTTCGTTCTATAAGCAAAATTTATAGTTTTTAATATAACTATACTGTATAAATATAGTACTGCAAATTTATAACTTAATATTAAGGCATTTTTGCTTTACGCAACCCGTTTTAACCTCTCGCCCCGTTTATTCACCAGAGGTGGCCATGGTTTTTTATTGTGAACGTACACTTGGGAGGTAGGTTAAGGACTGTGAGTGGCTCTTTTTCTGAATGGGACTTTCCCTACTCCCTTGTACCATACTATGAACTGACATGATACGAATTGAACCGAAAACAGCCATATCGTTTACTCGGTCGAGATTGGCGAAGAAAAGATTGTTCATGTTGCTTCAAATGAGTTTCGCTGGCGAGTACCCGAATTGATCAACAATTTTGTCTATGATGAACTGAATTGGTTTAATTATGTTTTTGGCACAACTATTTGTTCTGTTTTAATCATACTCGTTGCAGCTCTCTAGTATGTACATATATCAGGAATAAAGGGATGTCCAACTTATTCCACTGTGAGAGCGCTTCAAAATTGGCGCTTTTAATAACATTTTGCATTATGGCCAATAATAATTTTTGGACAACTAAATTAAAACATCCAACATTTAGAACGAATAAAAATTACTGTATAGTGATTATTTATTATATGGATAAACTATTTAAATCTTTATATAGTATATTAGAACAATTGACTTTTGACCTTTCAATTCCCAATAAAAGGATTTAAGCTTGTTAGCTGTTCATCATTAAATGTTTTTAATAGTTTTCCGTTGAAAATAATACTATGATGCTTCAAATTGCAAAAAGTTTCATCAGGTACCTTTAAATTTCACAAATTTATTTAATTTTCATTGCTTTACATTTTTTGTTAGTGGTGCAACAAATCCCTCCGTTTACACATTTTCTTGGTAAGATTAAAATCTGCCCATCGCTCGTTTCTAATTGCTAAACGTCAAAACCTCCTGAACTTTGACAGTTGATCGAGTTTAGCACATCCCTTTATCTCTGATGTACAGTGGACCAATAAAATTTACATACACCT